ATATTTTATGTAATTGTCAATACCCCACTTATTTACCTTATTTATTTATTATTTACCTTATTTTTATTATATCATATTTTAATGTACTATTTAATAAATAAGCCGTTTATTTTCCTAATATATTTATTATTTACCTTATTTTTTATTATGTCGAGATTTTTATGAAATATTTAATAAATACCTCATTTATTTTCCTTATTTATTTATTATTTACCTTATTTTTTGTTATATTGGATATTTTATGTAATTGTCAATACCCCACTTATTTACCTTATTTATTTATTATTTACCTTATTTTTATTATATCATATTTTAATGTAATATTTAATTAAGTCATTTATTTTCCTAATATATTTATTATTTACCTTATTTTTTATTATGTCGAGATTTTTATGAAATATTTAATAAATACCTCATTTATTTTCCTTATTTATTTATTATTTACCTTTTTAATTTTATGGGATTTGTTAAATCCATAAAAACCTTTTAAAACCTCACAGCAATTGGTTCTCATCCAACATTTGCTCCTAATCTCAATTCTGTTACAAGCTGCAACTTTTTTCGGCATGGAATTTCGTGCAAGTTTACCCTTTTCTTGATGCAAACATTTTAATGCATTTTTCTGATAATTAGTCGTGCATATTTGTGTATGTCTGTACCATTTGCAAAATGAAGAGACAACCAAGGTGGAGGGAATGGACCAATAAGAGAAATCAAAGCAAATAAAGCAAATCTTGGTTAAATGCACTCTTTTTTGCCCCTTGGCACCGGGAGTCAACCGTACCCAGAAATAGCATAAAACTAAATAAGGCTCTAAGTCAGAAGTGAGCAACGACTCCCAAAGATTCTCAACTGTTTTAAAAATAATTCCCACAGATGTTTTTCTCCAGCTATTTTTGTGTGTGCAACAACTAGCTAAATCGACTATACTTGGCCTTCAACTTTCTCAAAGGTTAGTGGTGCAGAACCTGGTTAAAAATGGGAAAAGTGAATGTTTTAGGGACCCCACAATGCATAGAATCCTCGGGTTGGAAGAGACTACGTGGGCCATCCAGTCCAACCCCCTGCCATGCAGGAAAAGCACAATCAAAGCACTCCCAAGAGATGGCCATCCAGTCAAGAAGGGAGCTTCAACCAGACTCCAAGGCAGAGACTTCCACTGTTGAACAACTTGTATGGTCAGGAAGTTCTTCCTCATTTTCAGGTGGAATCTCCTTTCCTGTTATTTGAACCCATGATTCTATTGAGTCCTAGTTTCCAGGCAGCAGAAAGGAAGCATGATCCCTCTTCCTTATGACACCCTTTCTCATATTTATACATGGCTCTAATCCTGTAGAAGAGAAGGTTAAGGAGACATGGCTCTCATCATGTCTCCTTAACCTTCTCTTCTGCAGGCTGAACATCCCCAGTTCTTTAAGATGCTTCTCAGAGGGATTATTCATTGTCTCCAGACCTTTCATCCATTTAGTCGCCCTCTTCCTCTGGACACCTTCTAGCTTAGAGTCAATATATTTAAATTGCTTTCCCCAGAATTTGATACAGTATGATTCTAGGTAAAGAGGTCTAACCAAAGCAGGAGAGGCATCATGACTTCCCTTGATCGTGACACTAGACTCCTTTTGATGCAGCCCAAAATCCCATTGGCTTTTTTAGCTGCTGCATCACACTCTTGGCTCATGTTCAGCTTGTTGTCCATGATGATTCCAAGATCTTTTTCACATGGACGTCACCCATTTTCTCTCTTTGCATTTCATTTTTGTCAGCACAGCAAGGCAGGAAACAGATCGATCACAGCCACCTTAGACTATAAACCACTTTATTTACAGCTATATACATTAGAAGCTACTTAAAACTAAACACATCGTAAAACTTGCTTCCTCTCCGTCCAATAGTAACATCGCGAACACACGAACAGTCTGTTATCAGTACTAGTCCACACCTCCTGCATTCGAGAGTGACTACGCACGATGCTGCGTCTATTTGCTCTATACACTTGATTTATGACCTCTCTAGGAATGCCGTTCTCTCCATGGTACAGTTAACTCTTTCCACACAGTATTACACTTGGCACATAGCTACTACATTTTAAACATACATACATACATACATACATACTTTGAAATCTACATTACAAATTGCAAACAGCTCCAACAGGTCCAATATTTTTTTCTACCTAAGTGGAATATCTTACATCTGTCCTTGTTGAAATGTTTTTTGTTAGTTTTGGCCAATCATCTCTCAAACCAATTAAGGTCATTTTGAATCCCGATTCTGTCCTCTGAAGTATTAGCTCTCCTTCCCAATTTGGTCCCATCTGCAAACTTGATCTGCCTGCCCTTTAAACCTTGGTCCAAGCCATTAATAAAGATGTTGAACAGCACTGGGCCCAGGACTGAACCCTCTTTATGGCACCAAATAGTCACTTCTTTTCAGGATGAAGAAGATGAACCATTGGGCAGAAGCACCCTTTGGGTTCGGTCACTTAACCAATTTCAGACCCACCAAATAGTCTTGAGTCCCTCTTCGGAGGTGAGAAGAACGGGCTATAAATGCTCGAAATAAATAAATAGTAGCGTTGCCAGGCCCACATTTGAGTAGTTTGCTTGCAAGAAGGTCACGGAGGACTTCGTCAAAGGCCTGACCGAAATCAAGATATACTACATCCACAGCATTCCCTGCATCTACCAAGCTTGTAACTCTATTGAAAAAAGAGATAAGATTAGTCTGGCATGACTTGTTTTTGAGAAATCTATGTTGACTTTTAGTAATCAGTATATTCTACTGTATATTCTACTTTGCTGCTATGCTTCCTTCTCTCTCACTCTCGATATATATAAATTATATTATTTGCACTTGGTTTCATCTGGTGCATATACACACAAACATCTTATGACCATGTTCTTGAATATTGGTGTACATATATAATACATATGTTTGCAATTCTTTTGACTGCACCTTATCCATTTACACAATGTTTTTCTTACTGATCCATCACCCCAACCACATATTTTCTTTGTATCTTTATCCTTAACCATTTGCACAATTTTCTTAGTTTCTGTATTTGGGACTTTGGAAAATTGGAATGACCACCTTTATGATCTGGTCCACTTTGAAATTATAGCATATTTCGTTTGAGTCAATGCACAGGAGGATAAAATAGGAAAAATTAAAAAAATAAATGGGTATTTATTTATCGTGTCATCAGCAACCAGACATTTGTATTACATTTTTAGCAAAAACAAACAGACAAAACACAGAATTTGCAAGCTTGGTAGTTGATGAAATGTCCTTTGACCAGTATCTGGCCACTTGGAGTGCCTCTGGTGTTGCCGCAAGAAGGTCCTCCATTGTGCATGTGGCAGGGCTCAGGTTGCATCACAGCAGGTGGTCAGTGGTTTGCTCTTCTCCGCACTTGCATGTCGTGAATTCCACTTTGTGGCCCCATTTCTGAAGATGGGCTCTGCATCTTGAGGTGCCAGAGCACAGTCTGTTCAGCGCCTTCCAAGTCGCCCAGTCTTCTGTGTGCCCAGGAGGGAGTCCCTCATTTGGTATCAGCCATTGGTTGAGGTTCTGGTTTGAGCCTGCCACTTTTGGACTCTCGCTTGCTGAGGTGTTCCAGCGAGTGTCTCTGTAGATCTTAGAAAACTATTTCTTGATTTAAGTCGTTGACGTGCTGGCTGATACCCAAACAAGGGATAAGCTGGAGATGTCTCTGCCTTGGTCCTTTCACTATTGGCTGCTACTTCCCGGCGGATGTCAGGTGGTGCAATACCGGCTAAGCAGTGTAATTTCTCCAGTGGTGTAGGGCGGAGACACCCCGTGATAATGTGGCATGTCTCATTAAGAGCCACATCTACTGTTTTAATGTGGTGAGATGTGTTCCAGAGTAGTATAGCGCAAGGGCAGATGTCTTCACTGTGTCTGGTTGTGATCCCCAGGTTGTGCCAGTCAGCTTTCGTATGATATTGTTTCTAGCGCCCACTTTTTGTTTGATGTTCAGGCAGTGCTTCTTGTAGGTCAGAGCACGGTCCAGAGTGACTCACAGGTATTTGGGTGCGCTGCAATGCTCCAGTGGGATTCCTTCCCAGGTAATCCTCAGAGCTCGGGATGCTTGTCTGTTCTTAAGGTGAAAGGCACATGTCTGTGTTTTAGATGGATTAGGGATCAGCTGGTTTTCCCTGTAATAGGCAGTAAGAGCACCTAGAGCTTCGGAGAGCTTCTGTTCAACCATCTCAAAGCTCCCTGCTTGAGCGGTAATGGCACGTCATCAGCATAGATGAAACTCTCTTTGTCCCTTCTGGCAGTGGCTGGTCATTTGTGTAGATGTTGAACATGGATGGAGCAAGCACGCTCCCCTGAGGCAGGCCGTTCTTCTGTTTCCGCCATCTGCTTCTCTGGCCCTGGAACTCAACAAAAAAGCTCTTGTTTTGTAGCAGGTTTCCTATGAGGCGGGTGAGGTGGTCGTCCTTTGTGATATTATACATTTTTCTCAGGAGGAGGCCGTGGTGGTTCACAGTATCATAGGCTGCTGTTTTCCCTGTAATAGGCAGTGAGAGCAAATAAATGGGTGACTTATATGGAATGGACAAAAAAGCAGTGAAGCCAGTATAAATGCTGCTACTCCTTTTCCTAAAACAATGTCATTGCTGGGAAAAAAATCCTCAATTTACCAATTTTCAAAAATTATTTACCTTATTTTATATCACATTTTAATGTAATATTTAATAAATAAGTCATTTATTTATTATTTACCTTTATTATTTACCAGGTTTGCACAATACTGAACCGGGAAAGTGGAATAATAGTGGTATGATTTCGAGAGTGAATGGGTCTCTTCCTTTTTCGTTCACTTCTGGTCCCTGTTGTCCTCATTCATAAAGAGGAATCCTGGGGATAGGTAGTTCTGTAAAGTAAGCATGTGCTAGAACTACCAGAGAATGATAAACACGCATCCATATTTATAGAGTGGGTTCATCTCTCATAGTTTCTTTGTCTTGTAGGTCATGGGCGTTCAGAAGAAGACTGTGGGGACGATCGGGCGCGCCATCGAGACAGCCACCTCCTGGCAAGTCGTCTGGAACGAGACCAAGAGAAGCTCCTCAGGTGAGCTTTCTCAGGCGGACTTCCGAGTATAGTAGGACTCCGTAAACGCAGGACTCGATTACAGTTACCCAGATCTAGGAGAGGAAATAGCATCTCTAGTAATGTGCTATGCCTCAGAACGAATCTATAGTATGCTTGCTTTGAAAGTTACCATATCACCATATTTAGTAAAGGTTTAAGTCTAGTCGTGTCCCACTCTGGGGGTTGGTGCTCATCTCCATTTCTAAGCTGAAGAACCAGTGTTGTCCGTAAACACCTCCAAGGTCATGTGGCTATCATAGAATCATAGAACCAAAGAGTTGGAAGAGACCTCCTGGGCCATCCAGTCCAACCCCATTCTGCCAAGAAGCAGGAATATTGCATTTAAATCACCCCTGACAGATGGCCATCCAGCCTCTGTTTAAAAGCTTCCAAAGAAGGAGCCTCCACCACACTCCGGGGCAGAAAGTTCCACTGCTGAACGGCTCTCACAGTCAGGAAGTTCTTCCTCGTGTTCAGATGGAATCTCCTCTCTTGTAGTTTGAAGCCATTGTTCCGCGTCCTAGTTTCCAAGGAAGCAGAAAACAAGCTTGCTCCCTCCTCCCTGTGGCTTCCTCTCACATATTTATACATGGCTATCATATCTCCTCTCAGCCTTCTCTTCTTCAGGCTATACATGCCCAGCTCCTTAAGCCACTCCTCATTGGGCTTGTTCTCCAGAGCCTTGATCATTTTAGTCGCTCTCCTCTGGACACATTCCAGTTTGTCTATATTTCTCTTGAATTGTGGTGCCCAGAATTGGACACAATATTCCAGGGGTGGTCTAACCAAAGCAGAATAGAGCATGGGGAGCATGACTTCCCTAGATGACTGCATGGAGCTTGTTTTCTGCTTCCCTGGAGACTTGGACGCGAAACAATGGCTTCAAACTACAAGAAAGGAGATTCCATCTGAACATGAGGAAGAACTTCCTGACTGTGAGAGCCGTTCAGCAATGGAACTCTGCCAGGGAGTGTGGTGGAGGCTCCTTCTTTGGAAGCTTTTAAACAGAGGCTGGATGGCCATCTGTCAGGGGTGATTTAAATTCAATATTCCTGCTTCTTGGCAGAATGGGGTTGGACTGGATGATGGCCCAGGAGGTCCCTTCCAACTCTTTGATTCTATGATTCTATGAAATATGGTAATTGCATTGGAGGAATTGCACATTTCTAGAAAGCCCTAAGGGAGACAAGTAATATAGCAAAATAAAAATATAATGTACTAAGGAAAGTAAGAAGAGAAATGCTACTAAAATAGTACAGGACTCCTGCACAACTTTCACATTTTTTACTAGGTGGAAAGGACAGGTGTTGGCATGACTGTAAACAAAGAGGAACTTGAGATCGTCGGAGGAGGCCCTGCTCTTGATCCCACCTGCTTCGCAAGCACGTTTGGCGGGGACGAGAGTCAGGGCCTTCTCTGTGGCGGCCCCTTGGCTGTGGAACTCCCTGCCTTAGTGATATTAGATCAGCCCCCTCCCTCCTTACCTTTCGTCATCTTTCCTTGCTTCTGTTCCCTGTAGAGAAAGCAAAGAACTGGCGGACTTTGCTCGGATCCATCCGGCTGGCTGCGCTACCAATGGCTTGAACGCCAACCTCATGGTGACGGGAGGGCCACCCTTGGCCGGCTCAGGGCGGTGGTCTGCTGACCCAGCAGCCCACCTGGCAACTCACCCTTGGTTACCCAGGACTGGCAGCTCTTCGGTGTGGCTAGCAGGTCATCCCTACGGTGAGTCCTCAGCAAAGAGAATCTATATATATAAAATGGAAAAGGGTGTCGTATGTTCTTTGATTGTAGGTGAACTATAAATCCCAGCAACTACAACTCCCAAATGACAAAATCAGTTTTTTTTAAGTGAAGGACATACATTGGGTTGTTAGGTGTCTTGTGTCCAAATTTGGTGCCAATTCGTCCAGTGGTTTTTGAGTTCTGTTAATCCCACAAACGAACATTACATTTTTATTTATATAGATATCTCCAACTTCTATTTAAGTTCTCAGCCTCAGAGGAAGGCAAAGGTAAATTCCCTCTGAACAGAAACTTGCCAAGAAAATCCTGTGAAAGGTTCACCCTCCGGTCTCTTTCCAGAATCTTGATAGCACACAATTGCAAGAATGGCAATGACAGCAAAGCTCTGGGTCTCTCTCACCTGACTCCTGTTGTCCTCCTAGGACTGGGACACCCTTCCTTGCACCAAGGCATGGCTCCCGGCTTCCCCGCGACCCTGGGGGGAGCCCTGTCTTCCGCCTACCAGTTTGCCAGGGACCCTCAGTCTGGCCAGCTTGTCGTAATCCCCAGTGAGCACCTGCCACACTTTGGTGAGTATCCTAAAAGAGTAAGGAAAACATCAAATAGACTGGCAAAGAGTAAAAGATCATTTTAAAAAAGGAAAAAATGAAAATATTGATATGATTAAGGGAATCTGGGCCAGAGGAAAGAGAGGGGAGGCCAGGGGATAACACCAGTTCCATCGTCAAGTCATTCAATCACAATTCTACTACACCAGGCACGGGCAAACTTCAGCCCTCCAGGTGTTTTGGATTTCAACTCCCATAATTCCTAACAGCCAGTAGGCTGTTAGGAATTGTGGGATTTTGAAAGCCCTAAAACCCTCCCCGCCCCCCAAGACCAACTGCTGCTCTGGGCCAGAGTGAAGAGAGAGGGATCCAGGGGACAGTTCCATCTTGTCTCCTGCATATGTCATCAGTTGGGGAGACCCCTGCCCCAGCACCAACTGATGTTCTGGGCCAGAGTGAGGAGAGAGGGGGTCAGGGGACAGTTACATCTTGTCACCTGCATATGTCATCAGTTGGGGACCCCCCTCCACCAGCATCAACCGATGTTCTGTGCCAGAGTGAGGAGAGAGGGGGTCAAGGGACAGTTACATCTTTTCACCTGCATATGTCATCAGGTGGGGGCCCCCCCCCCCCCAGCACCAACTTCTACTCTGGGCCAGATTGAAGAGAGGGGAGGCCAGGTGACAGCACCATCTTGTCTCCTGTATATTCCATCAGTTGAGGACCTCCCCTCCACTCCAGCACCAACTGCCGCTCTGGGCCGGAGTACGGGGGGGGAGGGGGGCAGGGGACAGCACCATCTTGTCTCCTGCATATGCCATCAGTTGGGGACCCCTCCCCCCCCCCCCCCGCACCAACTGCCGCTCTGGGCCAGAGTGAAGAGAGGGAGGGCCAGGGGACAGCACCATCTTGTCTCCCACCTATGCCATCAGTTGGGGACCCCCCCCCCCCAGCACCAACTACCACTCTGGGCCGGAGTGAAGGGGGGGGGGGTCAGGGACAGTTCCACCTTGTCTCCTGTGCTATTCTAATAATACAATATAATATAATATAATATAATATAACATAACATAACATAATATAATATATAATATATTGTATATACATATAATATTTATAATATTATAATGTAATGCAATATAATAATAATATATTATAATTATATATTTATATTACATGTAATATTACTAATATTATTGCAATATAATTGGTATAGTACAATATAGCAATATTTAAAACTGATATTGTACTATGCTAATAATATAATATATTGTATGTATATATAGTTTGTAAGCCGCTCTGAGTCCCCTTTGGGATGGGAAGAGCGGCATATAAATGCCATCAAATAAATAAATATTTTTTTAAAAAAATTAAGAAAGGTTACTGATAAGATTATTGCTGTTTGGATAAGAATGTTAATTTCGAAAGAAGGGGGAAAGATGCTGGAATAAAAGGACTAAGGGTCATAATGTAATATTGTCATGTGTACCGCTTTGAGTCACCTGAGGACTGAGAAAAGCGATATACAAGTATAGTAAATAAAAAAAATCAACATTTTGGAACCGCCGCCAGAAAGTAGATGGAAGTCAACTTTAATTGACTGTTTATTAAAAAAAATTCTCTCTCTTTTTTCTTTTTCCAATTTAATTGGGTGTCACATAGATTGATTATCTGTATGTATTAAGTCAATTTTTTCTCTCACCTTGTATTTTTTTGGTTTCCTTTTTTCTGTATCTTTGTTATTTTTCTTTCTCTCTCCTTTTTATGTTATTGAATTTGAAACTCAATGAAAATTACATATATATATATATATATATATATATATATATATATATATATTAGGGACATCATTCTACTACACCAGGCATGGGCAAACTTTGGTCCTCCAGGTGTTTTGGACTTCAACTCCCACAATTCCTATGAATTGTGGGAGTTGAAGTCCAAAACACCGGGAGGACCAAAGTTTGCCCACACCTGTACTACACCATGGTTTATTATGGGACTTAGGCCTCCATCTGGGGTGGTTGTGTGATCCTGGAACCAAACCCTCATCAGATACTAAGGACCCACTGTATACACAACTCAAGCAAAGCACAACATAGAAGTGAAACAGTCAAGATAGGTTTTTAATCAGGTTAGTTTATATACATATTATTATGACCCAAAAGTATCTGAATGTTTACTGCATCCCCTCATTGGTTTTTGCAAATATAATGCACCAAAGGTGTACTACACCCAGGGCTTGGTGCACTCTGAGCATGTTATTTAGTGTAAGCATATTGTTCTGACTCGCTGTCTGTTGCCTCGTAATTAATTCCAGCGGAGCTGATGGATCGCGCTCCCCCTCTCTGGCCTGCTGTGTACCCCCCTACAAGGAACTCTCTCCAGCATGCTCACCAGCTCCAGCTCTTGTCTCACCAGCAACTGATCCGCCAGCATGAGCTCTACATCCTCCAGCAGCAGGCGGCCCATGCCATGGAGCTACACAGGAGCGCACAGCTGGTGGTAGGTTCCAAAGGCTTCCACGCGCCCATCTGTTATTGCATCATGTAGCGTTTCCTCAACTAACTCAGGAAAATATCAAAACTCAAGATTCATGTGCACATTCATTCTGAAATTACCATAGATCAGTTCAGAGTCTTGAATCTGGAAACATGTCGCTGTTGCATCCCAGGCCTGAAGCCACCTATGACCATAGGATCCCACAAGAGTCCAGAGTAAAAATGAAACAGTCTATTGCAAACACACACACACACACACACACACACACACCCAAGATATATACTGTACTAGCGGTCCCCTGTCATGCATTGCTGTGGCCCACTCTGGTGATCTGGAAAATAAAGTAATGAGAAAGTGTTGGTTTCTAATAGATGTAATGTGTTGATGCTTGTGGGTAAACAGTATTTCTTGCTGTTTCTTTGTTAGTGTTGATGTGGAGATTGTCTGGTTTGCCTACTCTGGAACATGCAACGTATAATTGTCCTTCTTTAGGGGTCCTTTTTAAATCTTTGATACTGCATTTGTCACATACGTATATATGTGTGTGTGCGGGTGGCTGGATGGCCCTTTGTCAGGAGGGCTTTGATTATGCTTTCTTGCCCTAGTGAAGGGAGTTGGACTGGATGGCCTTAAGGTAGCATTTCTCAACCTCGGAAGTCAAGACCGCGGGGGGGGGGGGGTCACCAGGGGTCTTGAGACCACCATAAAACATGGAATTTTCTGTTGGTCATGGGGGTTCTGTGTGGGATGTTTGGCCCAATTCCATTGTTGGTGGCATTCGGAATGCTCTTTGATTGTAGGTGAACTATACATCCTAGTAGCTACAACTCCCAAATGTCAAGGTCTATTTCCCCCAACCTCCATCTGTGTTCACATTTGGGCATTTAGAGTATTCCTGTCAAGTTTGGTCCAGATCCATCATTGTTTGAGTCCACAGTGTTCTCTGGATGGAGGTGAACTACAATTCCAAAATCCAAGGTCAATGGCCACCAAACCCTTTCAGTATTTTCTGTTAGCCGTTTGAGTTCTGTGTGCCAAGTTTGGTTCAATTCCATAGTTGGTGGGCTTCAGAATGCTCTTTGATTGCAGGTGAACTATAAATCCCAGCAACTACAACTCCCAAATGACAAAATCCTTTTTTTTTTTTTTAGTGAAGGACATACATTACGTTGTTGGGTGTATCGTGTCCAAATTTGGTGCCAATTCGTCCAGTGGTTTTTGAGTTCTGTGAATAGCACAAACGAACATTACATTTTTATTTATATAGATTGCTCTTATGGTTTTTAAATGTATTGTGATGTTTTTGCTTTTTATTGATTAATGTATTTTTATATTTGGCATCTAATTGTTGCCCACTTGTACGCCGCCCTGAGTCACCTTCGGGCTGATATGGGCACGATACAAATGTTGTAAATAAACAATGGGAGTTTCTCATCCATTTGTCTTTGCCAGAGTACATATAATTTTTTGACTTACTCTTTAAAAAAACGCGAAACAGAGAGTGTGCAAAAAGTGAACCGCGAAGTAGTGAGGGAACACTGTAGATCAACGTTTCTCAACCTAGCGGTCGGGAACCCTGGGGGGGTCGTGAGGGGGTGTCAGTGGGGTCACAAAGACCTTCAGAAAATGCAGCATTTTCTGTTGGTTCTGTGGGTTCTGTGTGTGAAGTTTGGCCCAATTCTATCATTGGTGGGGTTCAGAATGCTCTTTGTAGGTGAACTATAAATCCAAGCAACGACAACTCCCAAATGTCAAGGTCTATTTTCCGCAAACTCCACTAGTGCTCACATTTGGGCTTGTTGAGTATTCGTGCCAAGTTTGGTGCAAATCCATCATTGTTTGAGTCTACAGTGCTCTCTGGATGTTGGTGAACTACAACTCCAAAACTCAAGATCAATGTCCACCAGACCCTTCCAGAATTTTCTGTTAGTCGTGGGAGTTCTGTGTGCCAAGTTTGGTTCAACTCCGTTGTTGGTTGAGTTCAAAATGCTCTTTGATTGTAGGTTAACTATAAATCCCAAAAGCTACAACTTCCAAATGACAAAATCAACCCACCCCAACCCCACCAGTATTCAAATTTGGGCATATGGGTATTTGTGTAATGTTTGTTATTGCTTTATGTTTTTAATTTGCTTTGAATTGTATTGTTGTTATGTTGTTGTTGTGTTGAGGCCTTGTCCTTTGTAAGCCGCATTGAGTCCTTCGGGAGATGCTAGCGGGGTACAAATAAAGTTTAATAATAATAATAATAATTAATAATTGTGCCAAATTTGAGCCAGTGAATGAAAATACATCCTGCACAGGGGTGGCTCATCCATTACGCAAAGTAAGCGGTTGCAGTACAATTTTTTTTGCCAGGGGCGCAGAGGCACCTCTGTAAATGCCCCTCGACCGCCACTTGAGGAGCGCCCCCTCAGCTCACAACAGCCCTAGGAGTCCGGGCTGCAGGGGCGGCTCAACCCATTACGCAAAGTAAGCATTTGCAGTATAGTTGATTTTGTCCAGGGACGCTCTTGAGGCACTCTTGGGGGAAAATAGACCTTGACATATGCGAGTTGTAGTTACTAGGATGTATAGTTCACCTACAATCAAAGAGCATTCTGAACTCCACCAATGTTGGAATTGAACCAAATATTGCACACAGAACTCCCACGATGAACAGAAAATATATATCAGTGATTGGTTTGAGGGGGGCGCCAAAATACTGTTTGCTTACCGTTGAAAATTACCTAGGGCCACCTCTGTAGATAGCCAACCCACAGCATAGATTTTCCACTTGATTATTCCTAGCGGACGTGATGATCACCATTTATCGTTATACATAGGCAAGACAAAAATAATTTCATGTGTTGTGTTTGTCCGGTTTCACAAGATGAGGACACGCTGTTCTTAAGGGGTCGGCGCCTTTCACCGGTTGAGAACCACTCGCTGTTTACTGTGAATATTGGCCTCTCATTATCTCAACAAGGCGAGGCTCCCGCTGCTTGGTATGCGATCATCGGGTGGATGGTAGTTTCAAATCTAGGATGTCTAAGCGCAACTTGGCAGTGCCAGCTCCCTAGTGCTGGCCCCTTCAACCAACTAGACGGCAGTCCTCAGTTTTGCAGCACCGTGGACTACCGCCAATTGGGGAAAGGGTGACGTCCTAGTACCTGTTCCTCCGGAGAGCCATGCCTTCTTCTCCTCAGACAGCCAGGCCGTTACGTCCACCTCTCCTGGCTCTCAAGCCGTGCCTCGAGCCTCGTTGTTTGGTCTGTGCTCGAAACGCTTAGGTTATCCAACATATGGGGACTAGCCCGGCCTACGCAATCCCGATCCTACTTATCCCTACCAGACCCAACCGCTACTTGCTTGTATCGCGATCTCCCAATACCGCTCCCCCCATGCCCCACCCTTGCTTCTCCGCTCTCCGCCCCCGGCCCCCACCATGCCCCCAAAAGAAGAAGAAGAAGAAGAAGAAGGGCCCGAGAGCGTGGAAAAGAAAGAACTGGACCTGGAGAAGGAGGCCTCCAGTCAGTATCAGGCTCTGTTCCCAGGTAAGAGAGCAAGCGGTCCAGCCGTGGAGCACCCTTGTGCTTTCTCCCCTTCCTTCCCTGTGTTTCCTTTGTCTTTCCTGCTTCCTTCCTGCTTTCTCTCCTGCCTCACACCCTTCCTTCCACCAAAAGCAGCGATGCTCCTGCATCCGATTGGAAGCTTAAGCACCACACAGTGTCTGTGGGTGTTTGTGTAACGCGGGGATATGAGGGCTCTTCTGTTTTGGTGGTGCTGCAGTTCTGTATTAGGGGTGCAAATCTCTGCGTGTGTCACTCCCATTCTCAAGAACAAATACTCCCAGCAGTACTCTGTCTGATCTGTGGGAATTTAAGTGTTGCTGGACAACCTTTAGGCACTACGAGTTGAGCCTCTTGTATCTGGAATTCCGAAATCTGAAAAACCTCAAAATCTCAAATACTGTAAATAAATATGTATTGTGATCCGCCCTGAGTCCCCTGCGGGGTGAGAAGAGCGGAATATAAAAGCTGTAAATAAATAAATAATCAAATGTGTTCAGTGATCCGCGAAGTAGCGAGAGAACACTACGTGCTTTTCTCTTGAACTGATTTTCCAGCTCATATGCAAATTCACTGATTTCTATTCAGTTAGTTGATTAATAAATAATGCTTAATGCCTATGGTTTTTTTAAATGAGTGCTATTTTCTGTTTCCAACGCTAGTTTCTTGTCTGTTGTGTTTGGGGAAACAATTTGGGTCTAATTTTGGGATATTTTCTGGGGTCACAGGGGAACTCCTCTTGGTTTTGTGACTCATCTGGAATCACAGAGTGATGGTGTCAGTGATTCTGATGGGGATGATGAGATTCAGATTCAGAGTAAGATGCAAAGCATAGATGTGCCTGTGTTAGATGAGGAAGAGTCCGAGAATGATGGTCCTCCAAGATGAGGAAGACCAGGGGGGCAGAAGTTCCCACAGCAAGGGTTTTATTTCTCAAAGTTTGCAAGCTTGGAAGTTGATTAAATGTCCTTTGACCAGTAGCTGGCCACTTGGAGTGCCTCTGGTGTTGCCTCAAGAAGGTCGTCCATTGTGCATGTAGCAGGGCTCAGGTTGCATTGCAGCAGGTGGTCAGTGGTTTGCTCTTCTCCACACTCGCATGTCGTGGATTCCACTTTGTAGCCCCATTTCTTGAAGGTTGGCTCTGCATCTCGTGGTGCCAGAGTGCAGTCTGTTCAGCGCCTTCCAAGTCGCCCAGTCCTCTGTGTGCCCAGGGGGGAGTCTCTCATTTGGTATCAGCCATTGGTTAAGGTTCTGGGTTTGAGCCTGCCACTTTTGGACTCTCGCTTGCTGAGGTGTTCCAGCGAGTGTCTCTGTAGATCTAAGAAAACTATTTCTTGATTTAAGTCGTTGACGTGCTGGCTGATACCCAAACAAGGGATGAGCTGGAGATGTCTCTGCCTTGGTCCTTTCACTATTGGCTGCTACTTCCCGGCGGATGTCAGGTGGTGCAATACGGCTAAGCAGTGTAATTTCTCCAGTGGTGTAGGGCGCAGACACCCCGTGATAATGCGGCATGTCTCATTCAGAGCCACATCCACTGTTTTAAAGAGCAAGGGTTGACGCTGGGGAAAGTGAAAGTACTGAAAGTGAGAACTAGGTTCCTGATGCAGAAAGGGAGGATAGTTCCCAGCCAGCTAACAAGGGATTTGACCTTGATGGGGCCAGTGGTTTAGATAGAGCTGATCGCTTGGAATTAAAAATGTGAAGGAGTGTCAGGATCGCCAGGAGGCGAGAGAGAGAGGCCCAAGGCCATAGGAACGCCTTCATGTTGGCCCAAGAGTAGTAAACCGACTGTTTGAATGTGCCTTAGTGTCAGAGCAACTTCACGCTTTAACCAAGAGACTTTGGGATTTATCTTGTAGCTTTCCATGTTCATGTTTTAGGACTTTGTCTTGTACTTAAGGGACTTTGCCTTGCTTGTGTCTTCATGGATCTTGTTTGCCTGTGTTACCTTGGAGTGATCTTCTGAAATATACTTTTGCTTTTTGAACTTTTTATCTTTTATCTATACACATAATAAAAGTGAAAATCTGTATGTGGCACAGGTGTCTGTTCACGCAGACAGCCTTCAGCCTCCACAAATAGGCTATTGTTTCCAGTGCTGAGAGGACAGCAAGTCACTCTCGAAGGACATTGCAAGTTATAGCAAGCACATCCCAGTGTTCCTTTCTCTCTTCATTTGCATGACCCCACCCACTGCTTCTCTCTTATCTCGTTTCAGCCCTTTCCTATGGCACACAGCAGAGGAATTGATCAGCAGCTGAACATACTGGAGAGAATTCACACTGATTTATAGGAGTTGTAGGGACTGGGATGCATAGTTGACCTGCAATCTAAGAGCACTCTGAACTGCACCAATGATGGACCTGGAACTCACTTGGCACACAGACCCACCATGGGCAATTGTCCATACTCCCAGAGTTTAGGGGTGATTACCCTGAGAGTTGTAGTTCACCCTTATCCAGAGAACAGTGAACTCAGCCAGTGATGGATCTGGACCAAACTTGGCACACAGAACCAACATGGCCAATTGTGCATACTGGCTGAGCTTGGGGGTGATTGCCCTGGGAATCTGGGAGTTGTATTTCACAATTACCTAGATATCACTGAACCCAGCTGCTGTCAGATCTGGACCAAACTTGACACACAGATCCAACATGGCCAACTTTAAGTAATGGCAGGGTTTGGGAATGACTGACCCACAATTCTGGAAATTGTAGTTCACCCACATTATTATGCATTTTCTAATGGGAGCATTAATTAAAAAACAAAAAGAAATACTTTCCCCCCCCCCCCCCCCAATAAATAGCATTACACATTACCAAACTGATATTACCAAACTTCACAAAACAAACGATGCCTTCTCAAATAACCCGGGCACCGCCGAGTCCCCAAGCTAGTTTTAAATAAAACTTCAAAGACAGCTGCTGGTGTGTCCAGTCATCTTCTTCCCTGAATCTACAATTTGGTGATGGATCTGGGCATTGTAAGTTTTTACCCTGTTTCGCTCCCTCACCCAAATTGTGCTTCAGTAGTTATATTTATATTTTTAATGTACCAAACATACCAAATTTGTATGAAAATGTGACTCTATTTCCTGTGCTGGTCAATGACTGAAATAACTGATTTGATTTGAGCTGCTGGTGTGTTCTTTGGTGTCCTAAGCAAGGTGGTTCTACTCTGAGGTGCGACACTTGGCCACCCCTTCTCTATCTTACCAGCTTTTGTTGTTGTTGTTGTTGTTGTTGTAGAAATTCCATCGGGATACCCATTCCAGTCCCTCCCAGCATCCTTCAGGAGACATTACCCATACCTCCTTCAACCAACTGCTGCCTCAGATGCCGAAGGCCTGGCTCCGGATGTCCCGCTGCCCACAGGAGACCCTGAGCACTTGGCCCTCTCTCCCGAGGTCAAACCCATCCATCTCTCCCCGTCCAAAATCGTTAAGCCCATCCAGACGGTGGAGGAAGAGGAGCCTTTGGAAGAGCGGGTGAAAACAGAGGTGGAGCTGGATGAGAACCAGGAAGAGGGTCTCTGTGAGTCAGAGATGGAGGCCCTGAGCATGGCCAACTCGGTTGCCCTTCCGGTCCAGGAAGTGAGCAATTGCACCCTTCTGTTGCATCACGCCAAAGCCCTGCAGTGCGAGGAAGAGCATGACGAGGAGGAAGAGGAAGAAGAAGAAGCAGCTCTCCAGGAGTGCCAGCCTGCTTATCAAGTAATGGAATTGGAGTCCCAAGTGGAAGCGACCCCTGACGTTGAATCTTGCCCAGTCCACATGGACTACAACGGAGCCTTGTTACACGGGGAGAATGAACTACCTGAAGTGGACCTCATCCCTCAGCCTGAAGGCCCTTGCGCGGTCACAGACATGCCTCACATTAGCTCTCCCCGGACAAGGAGGGAATTCTCCAGCACGTTTCAGGAAGAGGTGGAGCCAATGTTGAGGGAGCCCTGCTACGGGGATGAGGATGCCTCCTGCCAAGTCCCACACCTGGACATCAAACCGGACGACCCTCTAGCTGGTATGAATGTTTTGGCTGCGGCAGCTGAGTTGCCCCAGGCCTGCTCCTTACTGCCGAGCGATGGCATCACACAGGAGGCCGTGGTCAACCTGGAAGTGTCCTCCTCTCTATCGCCAGAGCACACCTTCCTGCAGGGGATCACCTTGCTGAGCGAAATCGCGGAGATCGAGCTGGAGAAGAGGAGGCAGGAGATGCAAGGTGAGGTTGAGCAAGGGGAGGTTGGGCATGCCTTGCTTTGAGCTGCTAAGGCAGTGGTTCTCAACCTGGGGTCACCAGATGTTTTTGGACTTCAGCTCCCAGAAATCCTAACAGCTGGTTAACTGACTGGGATTCCTGGGAGTTGTAGGCCAAAACACCTGGGGACCCACAGGTTGAGAACCACTGTGCTAAGGCTTTGTTTTGTCACTAGGAAAGCTTCATGTTGATATTGTTTGTATACAAAGGTAACTTTATTTACTAAAGGGTCCACAGATACCATTCTGTTGCAAACTTTGTGGCAGCATTAGTCACAAAGTATGTGGCTTGTAATTAATAGAAAGAATTTGCTAAAACAGTGGCTCCCAACCTTTTTTTTAAATTTTTTTGACCAGGGACCACCCTCTAACATTAGTACCAAAAAAGTTACGAAACATTTTTTAGTCGATTTCAGATTCGGTTTGGTTACTTGGGGTGCTGATTCAGAAAATTGCACTGGATAGACCACATCAGCTCTCGTGTCTGATACAGAACATATGCCAGCGTTTCTCAACCTGGGGATCGGGATCCCTGGGGGGGTCGCCAGGGGGTGTCAGAGGGGTCGCCAAAGACCATCAGAAATCACAGTATTCTCTGTTGGTCATGGGGGGTTCTATGGGGAAAGTTTGATTCAATTCTGTCATTGGTGGAGTTCAGAATGCTCTTTGATTGTAGGTGAACTATAAATCCCAGCATCTGCAACTCCAAAATATTAAGGACTATTTCCCCCAAACTCCACCAGTGTTCACATTTGGGCATATTGAGGATTTGTGCCAGGTTTAGTCCAGATCCATCGTTGTTTGAGTCCACAGTGCTCTCTGGATGTAGGTGAACTACAACTCTCAAACTCAAGGTCAATGCCCACCAGACCCTCCCAGTATTTTCTGTTGGTCATGGGAGTTCTGTGTGGGAAGTTTTGTTCAATTTCATCGTTGGTGGAGTTCAGAATGCTCTTTGATTGTAAATAAACTTCAATCACAGCAACTACAACTCCCAAATGACAAAATCAATACCCCCCCCCCCAACCCCACCAGTGTTCAAATTTGGGCATATCGGGTATTTGTGCCAAATTTGGTCCAGTGAATTAAAATATATCCTGCATATCAGATATTTACCTTACGAATCATAACAGTAGCAAAATTACACTTGTGAAGTAGCAACGAAAATAATGTTATGGTTGGGGGTCACCACAGCATGAGGAACTTGTATTAAGGGGTCGCGGCATTAGGAAGGTTGAGAAACACTGACATATGCCATCCAGTAGTTGCCATCTGCTCTCCCACAGAAAACCATATTTAATCATCTACGAGTTGATTTTTTAAAATTGTGTCAGAGAATATACAACTACCAATCCAAGTATGTCAGTCCTAGTTCCATGTCAATGTTGACATGTATATGTTATCTCTACTCAAAGAACTCTCTACTGTGCAAAACTGATTATTCAAAGATTTCTACATTTGTATCAGCTACCACCTGAGGAAGGCTTAGATCAGTGTTTCTCAACCTTCCTAATACCGCGACCCCTTAATACAGTTCCTCATGTTGTGGTGACCCCCAACCATAACATTATTTTCCTTGGGTTGTTGTAGGTTTTTTCGGGCTATATGGCCATGGTCTAGAGGTATTTTCTCCTGACGTTTCGCCTGCATCTATGGCAAGCATCCTTGCTACTTCACAACTATCATTTTGCTATTATTTTATATAATTTTACTGTATTTATTGTTGTTTTAATTACATTTATTTTACTTTATTATTATTATTTACATTATTTTACTCTATCATTATTACATTTATTATTTTACTGTATTATTATTATTATTACATTTATTGTATTGTCGAAGGCTTTCATGGCCAGAATCACTGGGTTGTTGTAGGTTTTTTCGGGCTATATGGCCATGGTGTAGAGCAGTGGTTCTCAACCTTCTTAATGCTGCGACCCCTTAATGCAGTTCCTCATGTTGTGGTGACTCCCAACCACAACATTATTTTTGTTGCGACTTCATAACTGTAATTTAGCTAATGGTATGAATCATAATATAAATATCTGAAATACAGGATGCATCTTCATTCACTGGCCCAAATTTGGCACAAATACCCGATACGCCCAAATTTGAATACTGGTGGGGTTGGGGTGTGTGTGATTTTGTCATTTGGGAGTTGTAATTGCTGGGAGTTATAGTTCACCTGCAATCAAAGAGCATTCTGAACTCCACCAACGATGGAATTGGGCCAAACTTGGCACACAAAACTCCCATGGCCAACAGAAAATACTGGAAAGGTTTGGTGGGCATTGACCTTTAGTTTGGGAGTTGTAGTTCGCCTGCATCCAGAGAGCACTGTGGACTCAAACAATGATGGATCTGAACCGAATACTCAGTATGCCCAAATGTGAACACTGGTGGAGTTTGGGGAAAATAGTTGTAGTTGCCGGGATTTATAGTTCACTTGCAATCAAAGAGCATTTTGAACCCCGCCAACGATAGAATTGGGCCAGACTTCCCACATACAACCCTCATGGCCAACAGAAAATACTGTGAACATGGCATAGGTCTATACACACACACACACATATCTTGCATGGTCTTTAGTGACCCCTCTGACACTCCCTTGTGACCCCTCCAGGGGTCCCGACCCCCAGGTTGAGAACCACTGGCTTAGATAGTCGAAACTGGTTGTGTTTTATAAACTGTGTATTCCAAAAAAGGACTGACGTACTTGGATTGGTGGTTGAAAAAAACTTTGGTTAAAAAAGGACTTACGAACTTGTGTGTTCTACTGTAGGAACCAGCTGTTTATCTCATATCAAGAAGTTTGTGATTACGAGACTTGCAAAAAAGGACTTACAAACTTTGCTTCGTCATTGATAAATTTTTGGTTTTCAAAAGGACTCACAAATTTGTGCAGGAATTAGTTGTTTAACCCATATAAGGGAATTTTTTGGTTTAAAAATTTGCATTGTGTATTCCTCTTAATATATTTTGTACAAGCTGCTAGTACATTGCATGTTGTAATACTATAGCATAGATACGATATTCATTTTTATGATTATATAACTGCATTACTTTTTGGTATATTGTGACCTCTTGCCCTTGTACTTCGGGGAATCCTTTCTCTGTTATATACCTGAGGATGCCTGCCATAGATGTGGGCAAAACGTCAGGAGAGAATGCTTCTGGAACATGGTTATACTGCCCGGAAAACTCGCAGTAACCCAATACATACTTTTCATGCTTTGGATATAACAACAAAAATTGATTTTGCAACAACAACAAAAACACGAAGTGTGTGGGATTTGAGCCTGGAAAGAAGGAAAGGAGGGAAAATGCAAGGCTTTGTGTCTTAAATAATAATAATAATAATAATAATAATAATAATAATAATAATAATAGACTTTATTTGTTACCCCACCTCCATCTCCCCAGTGGGGACTCGGAGCGGCTTACATGGGGCCAAGCCCAAACGACAATTACAATAAAGAAAAACCAAAAACACAAACCGACAATGCGAACAACAAACAGTAACATCATAGTTACATAAAACACATGAATACATAGCAATATGCAAAATAAAGAATATGTACAGGCGCAATAATAATGGGTGGGCAACAGGTAGTAATTAAAAGGACAAACTGATTAAAACTAATTAAAAAGTCGGGTGAGATAAAAGAGGGAAGCAGGTAATTTACGGAGGAGGGCTCGTTTTAGCGGGAGTTCCCATGACGGGGGACGTATACTCCAATGACAGAACTTTGAAATAGAGCAATCATGTGGGATTATATACCTACTCATCAAAGGCGCAGTGGAAGAGCCAGGTTTTAAGGTTCTTTTTGAAGATTTCTAGGGAAGGGGCTTTCCTAATTTCTCCGGGCAGTGAGTTCCAGAGTCAGGGAGCCACAGCGGAAAAGGCTCTCTCCCTTGTACTCACTAGGTGAGCTTGAGAGAGAAGGGCCTCCCCGGAAGATCGGAGGGCCCGAGATGGTTCATGGCGGGAGAAACGGTCACTAAGGTAGGCAGGCCCCAAACCGTTTAGGGCTTTATAGGTGATAACCTGCAGCTTGAATTGGGACCGGAAAATAAACAGCAGCCTGTGGAGCTCCTTAAACAGGGGGGTTGACCGCTCCATGTAGGTGGCCCCAGTTATTAATCTGGCTGCTGAATGTTGGACACGTTGTAGTTTCCGGGCTGTCTTCAAGGATAGCCCCACATAAAGAGCATTACAGTAATCCAGTCTAGAGGTAACTAAGGACCACCATGGTCAATCCAGTCTAGAGGTAACTAAGGACCACCATTGTCAAGTCAGATTTCACGAGGTAAGGTCGCCGTTGGCACATGAGTTTTAGTTGTGCAAAGGCCCTCCCGGCCACCGCCGACACCTGCGCATCTATCTGTGGAATACCTATCCTTTGTCTGTCTTGGAATAATGGAAACCCCCCTCTTTGACGCAGGGATGGAGAACTTCCCCATTCGCCCAACCCTGGAGAGTCTGTTAGCTGCCAGCACCCAAATGCTGATGGAAGTCCTCTCCACGCCCTTTGTGGACGGCCTGAAGAACATCCGTCTTCCTCGAGAACTGGATCCCAACAAAAAGTACAGCTGGATGCAAAAGAAAGATGAAGCTGTGAGTAGTTCTTTTCTACCAGCTTTGCTCTTCATAGTCAGGCAAGGAGGTTCATGGGAAGAGATGCTGCAGAATTCATGCGGAGTTTCAACACTGAAAGTCATCAGATCTTGGCCCTGCTTCGTCCTTGGATGGTAGATGGCCAATGAAGACCGGGTCCTGTAGCTATCTTTCACAAGAAGAACTCGCAAAACAAACCTCAACAACCCTTAGAAATCTCTATAAAAGTCAACTGGTTGCCATAAGTTGACAGATGATTTGAAGGATAGTATACTGTATATACTCGAGCATAAGCCGACCCGAATTTAAGTGGTGGCACCTAATTTTACTACCAAAATATGGGAAAACGTATTGACGCAAATATAAGCTGAGGGTGGGAAATGCAGCAGCTGTTTCGAGTATAAGCCGAGGCTGAAAAAGGCTGAAAAACTCAGCTTATATTCACGTATATACGGTATATAGATACAGATGATTGACAAGTGAGATTTAGCTTGGGAGTCAATACTTGATGGATTTGTCTCGTTTCTTTTGAGAAACATAAATAATGAAAGTATTTGCAGAGTTGGTCCAGCATTGTTCAAGGTCCTGTATATGACCTGCTCTCCCACCCGTAAGGCCATACTGTCCCTGTACACCAAGCCCTGAATCAAAATGAGAACTTTGGTATCTACCGCAGGTTAGGTATTCTATGTTTCATTCCTGCTAGTGGCTGAATTGTGAATCATACGAGTTTAATTATGGACTGGAGTTTAATTAGGGCCTGTGCTGAACTGTAACTGGGACCACCACCCCACTTCACTCCTTTCCAAATTCTTGCTGTTTTCTAAACGTTTTCCTCTCAGCTGTACTCCATCAAGTCATCTGTTGAGAACATGGATGCAATGGAGTTGGACTACAGGATGAGGTTGGCTGAGCTGCAGAGGAGGTACAAGGAAAAACAGAGGGAACTGGTCAAGCTGCAGCGACGGAGAGACTCTGAGTAAGTACGGTATATACTCCAGTATGAGCCTAGTTTTTCAGTCCTTTTTTTAGGCATAAAAAAACCCTTTGGCTTATACTCGAGTCAAGATTATTTATTATTTTATTCAATTTATTATTAGTGCATTTATAATTTTACTGTATTTATTGTTGTTTTAATTACATTTATTTTACTTTATTATTATTATTTACATTATTTTACTCTATCATTATTACATTTATTATTTTACTGTATTATTATTATTATTACATTTATTGTATTGTCGAAGGCTTTCATGGCCAGAATCACTAGGTTGTTGTAGGTTTTTTCGGGCTATATGGCCATGGTGTAGAGCAGTGGTTCTCAACCTTCTTAATGCTGCGACCCCTTAATGCAGTTCCTCATGTTGTGGTGACTCCCAACCACAACATTATTTTTGTTGCGACTTCATAACTGTAATTTAGTTAATGGTATGAATTATAATGTAAATATCTGATATGTAGGATGTATTTTCATACACTGGACCAGATTTGGCACAAATACCCAATACACCCAAATTTGAATAGTGGTGGGAATGGGGGAGGGTATTGATTTTGTCCTGTGGGAGTTGTAGTTGCTGGGATTTATAGTTCACCTACAATCAAAGAGCATTCTGAACTCCACCAACGATGGAATTGAATCAAACTTTGCACACAGAACTCCCATGAACAACAGAAAACACTGGAAGGGTTTGGTGGGCATTGACCTTGAGCTTGGGAGCTGTAGTTCACCTACATCCAGAGAGCACTGTTAACCCAAACAATGATGTATCTGGATCAAACTTGGCATGAATACTCCATATGCCCAAACACTTGACATTTGGGAGTTGTAGTTGCTGGAATTTGTCGTTCACCTGCAATCAAAGAGCATTCTGAAGCTCACCAGTGATACAATTCTGCCAAACTTCCCACACAGAACCCGCATGACCAACAGAATATACTGTGTTTTCTGATGGTCTTTGGCGACCCCTCTGACACCCCCTCAAAACCCCCCCAGGGGTCCCGACCCCCAGGTTGAGAGACACAGGTGTAGAGGCATTCCCTCCTGACGTTTCGCCTGCATCTATGGCAAGCATCCTCAGAGGTAGTGAGGTCTGTTGGAACTAGGAAAAAGGGTTTATATATCTGCGGAATGACCAGGGTGAGAGAAAGACATTTATTATTTTACTCTATTTATTTATTTATTTATTTATTTATTTATTTATTTTTCTTTAAAGCATTTATATTCCACCCTTCTCACCCCGCAGGGGACTCAGGGCAGAGCACAATATATATAAGGCAAACATTCGGTTCCGGGACATAAAACCATAAATATATACAAACATTAAAATCACTTATATTCACATTAAAAGTTGCTTAAAAACCATCTCAGGACACCATTTTGCCTCATTGCACTGCCCCAAAGGCTTGGTCCCACAGCCAGGTCTTCACCATCCTTCTGAAGGACAGGAAGGAGGGGGCTGATCTAATATTGCCAGGAAGGGAGTTCCATAATCGGGGGGGGGGGGGGGGGGGATCACTGAGAAGGCCCTGTCTCTTGTCCATGTCAAATGTGCCTGTAATGATGGCGGGACTGAGAGCAGGGCCTCCCCAGAAGATCTTAGTTTCAGCAGTGAAATTATTATTATTATTATTATTATTATTATTATTATTCTAGAGGCATTCTCTCCTGACGTTTCACCTGCATCTATGGCAAGCATCCTTGGAGGTAGTGAGGTCTTTTGGAACTAGGAAAATTGGGTTTATATATCTGTGGAATGACTAGGGTGGGACAAAGAACTCTTGTCTGCTGGAGCTAAGTGTCAATGCTTCAGCTGACCACCTTGATTAGCATTTGATGACCTGGCAGTTGTTTGGTGTGACTTGTTAGTGCCTGGGGCAATCTTTTGTTGAGAGGTGATTAGATGTCCCTGGTTGTTTCCTCTCTGCTGTTTTGCTGTTGCAATTTTAGAATTTTTAATACTGGTAGCCAGATTTTGTACATTTTCATGGTTTCCTCCTTTCTGTTGAAGTTGTCCACATGCTTCTTTTGGATTTCAATAGCTTCTCTGTGTAGCCTGACATGGTGGTTGTGAGAGTGGTCCAGCACTTCTGTGTTCTCAAATAATATGCTGTGTCCAGGTTGGTTCATCAGGTTCTCTGCTATGGCTGACTTCTCTGGTTGGAGTAGTCTGTAGTGCCTTTCATGTTCCTTGATTCGTGTTTGCGCAATGCTGCTGCGTTTGGTGTTCCCTCTGTAGACTTGTCCACAGCTGCATGGTACACGGTAGACTCCTGCAGAAGTGAGAGGATCCCTCTTGTCCAGTGGTTCTCAACCTGGGGTCCGCAGATGTTTTTCGCCTTCAACTCCCAGAAATCCTAACAGCTGGTAAACTGGCTGGGATTTCTGGGAGTTGTAGGCCAAAAACACCTGGGGACCCCAGGTTGAGAACCACTGCTCTTGTCCTTTGCTGAACGTAGCATTTGTTGGATTTTCTTGGTGGGTCTGTAGATAGTTTGTAGGTTGTGTTTCCTCATCAGCTTCCCTCTGCGGTCAGTGGTTCCCTTGATGTCTGGCAAGAACACTTTTCCTCTGGGTGGGTCTTCGTAGTCAGTTTAGTGTTTTGTTGACGCTCTTTGAGTTAGTTTTGGTTTCTTCTAATTCCTTTTATACAGTTACTTTGGTCCCTTTCCCTTTTTTTGTTTTTGCACAATTACGTCGTAGTTGCTTTTGGTTAACAGTCAAGCGTATGGTTTTTGGTTTTTTTTTAAGGGAAAAGCATGACGAGAAAAGTAGAAGCTTGGCAAGACGAGGCCCAGGAAGGCCCAGGAAGAGGAAGCATGGACCCAGTGCTCTCTCGCCCCCGACGGAGAGAGGGAAGAGCGGCTGCAGGAGCGGAAAGTAAGAGCTGGGCTGCGGGGGGCAAAGGGGGCCGCAGGGTGTTATGTGCATGCACTCGCACACAAGCACACACATGCGCTCTCTCTGTCTTTTGGCATAGTGTCCTGATTCGTGGACATGATGAAGTACGTGGCAGCTTGAGTGCTGATTTGTGTTGAGGGTCATGCCGTTTGGAGTGGGGCAGCTGCCATGGCATGGACATTGAATGAATAAGGCGGGGAGGCATTGGTGAAAGAGTAGCAGATAAAACAGAACAGGAATAACCCTCTGACTTCAAAACACCACACGTTTAGAATCATAGAATCCTAGAGTTGGAAGAGACCTCCTGGGCCATCCAGTCCAACCCCCTGCCAAGAAGCAGGAATATTGCATTCAAATCACCCCTGACAGATGGCCATCCAGCCTCTGTTTAAAAGCTTCCCAAGAAGGAGCCTCCACCACACTCTGGGGCAGAGAGTTCCACTGCTGAACCGCTCTCACAGTCAGGAAGTTCTTCCTCATGTTCAGATGGAATCTCCTCTCTTGTAGTTTGAAGCCATTGTTCCATTGCGTCCTAGTCTCCAAGGAAGCAGAAAACAAGCTTGCTCCCTCCTCCTCCCTGTGGCTTCCTCTCACATATTTATACATGGCTATCTTATCTCCTCTCAGCCTTCTCTTCTTCAGGCTAAACATGCCCAGCTCTTTAAGCTGCTCCTCATAGGGCTTGTTATGAGGAGCGGCTTAAGGAGCTGGGCATGTTTAGCCTGAAGAAGAAAAAGCTGAAAATGACCCAGGAATGCCCCAAGACGATCAAACGGATAAGGACTTGAATGAGAGGACATAGTTTTTAGTTTTTAATATTGTTACTATGCACTGTCTTCTGTCTAATTGCACTAAATGGTTCTTTTGTTGATCAATGTATGTATTTTTATGGCATCGAATTGTGCCGATTGTGTACGCCGCTCTGAGTCGCCTCCGGGCTGATAATAGCGGGGTAGAAATAATGCAAGTAAGTAAATAAATAAATTTCTAAGCTAGCCAGGATTAGACAATTTCCAATTTTAGGCAAAGAGCTGAAACACTTCTTGTACTCTTTTACCTATGTTTTTAGCCAACATGTATTTTAAGCAGTTTTTAACTGTTGCAAATCTTACCCATTTGTATGTTTAATCAGCCAGATGTTGTTAATCTCATTACCTGCATACCTTATACACCTACAGTGCAATGACAAGTGGAGTGCCATCCACAGGGTTCCCCCCTGGGCCCGGTCCTGTTCAACATCTTTATTAATGACTTAGATGAAGGGTTAGAAGGCAGGATCATCAAGTTTGCAGACGACACCAAATTGGGAGGGAGAGCCAAGACTCCAGAGGACAGGAGCAGGATTCAAAACGATCTTGACAGATTAGAGAGATGATTGGCCAAAACTAACAAAATGAAGTTCAACAGTGACAAATGCAAGATACTCCACTTTGGCAGGAAAAACTAAACGCAAAGATACCGAATGGGGGACGATGCCTGGTTCGAGAGCAGTACGTGTGAAAAAGATCTTGGAGTCCTTGTGGACAACAAGTTAAACATGAGCCAACAATGTGATGTGGCGGCAAAAAAAGCCAAGGGGATTTTGGCCTGCATCAATAGGAGCCTAGTGTCTAGATCTAGGGAAGTCATGCTACCCCTCTATTCCGCTTTGGTTAGACCACACCTGGAATATTGTGTCCAGTTCTGGGCACCACAATTCAAGAGAGATATTGACAAGCTGGAATGTGTCCAGAGAAAGAGGGCGACTCAAATGATCAAGGGTCTGGAGAACAAGCCCTATGAGGAGCGGCTTAAGGAGCTGGGCATGTTTAGTCTGAAGAAGAGAATGCTGAGAGGAGATATGATAGCCATGTATAAATATGTGAGAGGAAGCCACAGGGAGGAGGAGGGAGCAAGCTTGTTTTCTGCTTCCCTGGAGACTAGGGCGTGAAACAATGGCTTCAAACTACAAGAGAGGAGATTCCACCTGAACACGAGGAAGAACTTCCTGACTGTGAGAGCCGTTTAGCAGTGGAACTCTCTGCCCCGGAGTGTGGCGGAGGCTCCTTCTTTGGAAGCTTTTAAACAGGGGCTGGATGGCCATCTGTCAGGGGTGATTTGAATGCAATCTTCCTGCTTCTTGTCAGGGGGTTGGACTGGATGGCCCATGAGGTCTCTTCCAACTCTATGATTCTAAGGGTCTTTGGATCATAATAAAATGTTGTTGTTGTTGTTGTTGTTGTTGTTTTTGTTATATAACTAACCAACCAATCAGATCACTTTTTCATCTGGTTTCCAGACTCAGCAAGTCCTTACTCCTCTCGGAAGACTCCGAGACTGGTGAAGGCAGCAGGAAGAGGCACAGAGGCATCCTCCTTGACGAGGAGGAGGAGATGGAGAGCAGGACCGGGAGGATGAAGGGCAGAAATCGCAGCTGGGATGAGCAAGATGTGCTTGCCAACTTCTCCAATGAGGTTGGTACAAACCTGATTTTATGTATGTATATGTATGTTGTTCTGTCGCGCGCTGGGTCTGTAAAGAATTGTCTTTAGAACAGGACGTGCAACCTTTGCCCAGCGGGAAGCCAGGGGGCCCAAGGAGAAGTTCTCAGAGGTTTTCCACCACAAAATAGTCTTTAGATGGCTTGTGAAGTATAACAAAATCCTTTATTAATGAACAATCAAACAGAAACTTCTCTTGTCTTCAATAAAGTTAAACAAATGATTCCAAGCTTTTAGGCAACTGGTGACTTCCTAATCTTGCCCACGAAGGACAGGCAACTGTCTTCAATCACTTCTTCTTTAAAGGAAAATCCCCTTTTTAACTTCTCCCAGGCTGTCTGTAATCTAACCCTTACTGATGTGGGCTCCGCTGCCAGGTTGAACTGCATCTCGAACGCCGTGTGGACCTACCAGTAAGGCAGTAGCTGGAGTTCTTTGGTCTTTAGGGCTGTTTTCCTGGAAATCTTTGGAGACTCTTAAGACTGTTTTCCCCTGGAAAGTCCTCAAAGCTTTGGGGAGGCTTCCCTGGAGTTCTCTGATTTGCTTTTAAGACTGGAAAATCTTAATGGTTGACTCTTAAGACTGTTTTCCCCCGGAGAGTCTTAAGGGTTGAAGCTTTTGTACAGGGGAAGCTTGCACATGTCCTGTACATTAGCTTTCCTTGCTGAGACTAACTAAAAATGGCTCCCTTCCCTTCCCAATTGCCCTGAGCAAGGGGCGGGACCAAAACTTAACGATGATGGACAGGTGACTTGCCCTATGACTGCAACCAAAGGAAGCCACCTATCTGCAGAGTCCCTGAAACCTTGGACTGCAAGCAAACATTTAATACAAAGCAAATTAAATTGGAGCTCCTGGTACAGCTGTACCAGAACATATGTATTTTTTTCCAGTAACTGCCCCAGTACCTGATTTTGGAAAATGGCATTCATGATCTTTTGGGAAAGCCAAGAATCTCCACAGCTGGCAAAAGCATACTGTTTCCATTGAAGTCCAAAAACATACTGTTTCCAAAATGGGAGTCTTGAGTCTGAATATGCTCAGTGCAATCACATGTTTGTAGCCCCTCCCATACCAAAGAGATCAGTCAAACTGGCAAATCAACACATACATACAATACAGGTTAGCAAATGTATACATTAACTGCATTAGTAGCTGAAAGAGGAGGGAAGGAAGGCACCCGATTTTCTAGTTTGGTTACAAAGTACACTGGGTTGTAGGTTTTTTCGGGCTATATGACCATGTTACTGTTTATTGGTTATTATTTATATGTGATTTATATTAATTGTATTGTATTTATAAAGAACTCTTGTCTGCTGGAGCTAAGTGTCAATGTTTCAACTGTCTACTTTGATTAGCATTTGATGGCCTGGCAGTTGTTTGGTGTGACTTGTTAGTGCCTGGGGGAATCTTTTGTTGAGAGGTGATTAATTGTCCCTGATTGCTTCCTCTCTGTTGTTTTGCTGTTGTAATTTTAGAGTTTTTTAATACTGGATTTTGTTCATTTTCATGGTTTCCACCTTTCTGTTGAAATTGTCCACATGCTTCTTGTGTATTTCAATGGCTTCTCTGTTTCATCTGCCATGGTGGTTGTGAGAGTGGTCCAGCATTTCTGTGTTCTCAGATAATACGTTGTGTCCAGGTTGGTTCATCAGGTGCTCTGCTATGGCTGACTTCTCTGGTTGGAGTAGTTTGCAGTGCCTTTCATGTTCCTTGATTCGTGCCTGCGCATTGCTGTGTTTGGTGGTCCCTATGTACACGTCTCTACAACTGCATGGTATAAAGTAAACTCCTGCAGACGTGAGAGGATCCCTTGATTCATGTTTGGGCAACGCTGCTGCGTTGGGTGGTCCCTATGGAGACTTGTCCACAGCTTCCATGCTATACGATGGACTCCTGCAGAGGTGAGAGGCTCCCTCTTGTCCTTTGGTGAACGGAGCATTTGTTGGATTTTCTTGGTGGGTCTGGAGATAGTTTGTAGGTTGTGTTTGCTCATCAGCTTCCCCTGTTTAAGGAGCTCCATTGGCTGCCGTTCATTTTCCGGTCCCAATTCAAGGTGAAGGTTCTTACCTACAAAGCCCTAAACGGTTTGTCTTTGATTCTATGATTCTGTGATGTTGTATTTACAGATATCTGTGTAGTTAGAGTGAGGGGGGGGGGCATCTTCCAGATGGAGGGCAGACGGGGGGCATACGTATACATATGTATACTGAATATATTCTGTAAGTGTCCCTACTTTGCGGGTTTTCACGTATCGCGGGTAGTCCTGGAATGTGACCCCCGCGAAAAGTGAGGGAACACTGCAATCTGAAGTACCCAGAAGTCACTAACTTGGGGAATGGTTCCTTGGGAGATGGCTACGAAGCCTTGGTTGACACTCTTGACTGGACATTGGATGCAAGAGATTGAAATCCAGCACACTGAAATGGCCATCGTAGGCAGACGTTCAAGGAAGGGCCAGTGGTATCTGCCGTGTGGTCACCTGTGCCCCATCCTTGTCTTCCTTTTGCAGTTAAAGATGAAGAAGAAGAAGCTGGCCTCCGACCAGGAGCAACTGGTGAGCAAGCTGGACAAAGCGCTGTCTCTTACCAGGCACAGCAAATTGAAATCGCCTTTTAAGTTTGCAGACCGCTCTGGGGGAAGGCAGAGAAACGGAGGGTGCTTCAGCAGCCGGTACCTGTCGCCCCACGAGGCCTTCCTCGGCAAAGAGGACAAGAAGCACCTGGGCAAAGCTATGAGCTTCTCTCTGAAAGCTTCCAGAGAAGGTAAAAACAAAATGTCTGCCCAAATGAAGAAGATGGAGGTGGGGCTCAGAGTCAAGGGCCACCTGAAGGTCTCCAGTTCACCAGCAATGTCTGAAGTTAGCAGCTACTCCTACAGTAAGCAGATTTTGAAACCTTTGCTTCTTCCGTGCTCTTGTGTTTCCCTTTGGGCTTTGTTGGAAGCGGAGATTGAATCTCTTTGCGTCACAGGGGAAACAACCGGGTGGGTTGGGGAGGGGAGGAAGCAGCAGAACTCGAGTTTACTCAGAATGAAGTAAAGAAGAGGAAGGGAAGAGATGGAAGGAAGGAGAGAAGGAAAGAAAAAAAGGGAAGGAAGGGAAGAGAGAAGGAAAGAAGAGGAAGAGAAGGAAAAGGGAGAGGAAAAAAGGACAGGAAGGGAAGGGAAGGAAGGAGGAGGAAGGAAGGAAAGAAAGGAAGGGAAGAGAAAAGGAAGGAGAGAAAGAAAAGGAGAAAGGAAGAAAAAAGGGAAAGAAGAGAAGAGAAGGAGAGAAAGAAGAAAAAGGAAGGGAGAAGGAAGAGAGGAGGAAGGAAGGAGAGAAGGAAAGAAAAAAGGGAAAAAGGAAGAGAAAGGAAGGAGGAAGGAGAGAAGGAAAGAAAAAAGGAAGGAGGAAGGGAAGAGGAGGGAAGGAAGGAAGAGAGGAAGGAAAAAAGGAAGGAAGGGAAAAGGAAGAGAAGGAAAAAAAAGGGAAGAAAAGGAGGGAAGAGGAAGAGAAGGAAGGAAGGAGAGAAAGGGAAGAAGGGAAGAGAGGAAGGAAGGAGAGAAGAAAGGAAGGGAAGAAGGAAGGAGGAGAGAAGGGAAGAAAAAAAGGGGAAGGAAGGAAGGAAGAGGAGAGAAGGAAGGGAAGGAGAGAAGGAAGGAAGGGGAGAGGAAGAGAAGAAAGAAAAGGGAAGAAGGGAAAGAAGAAGAAGGAAGAAAAGGAAGAAGGAAGGAAGGAGAGAAGGGAAAAAAAGGGAAGAAAAGGAGGGAAGAGGAAGAGAAGGAAGGAAGGAGAGAAGGGAAGGAAAGAAGGAAAGGAAGGGAAGAGACGGAAGGAAAGGAGAGAAGGAAAGAAAAGGGAAGAGGAAGCAAAGGAAGGAAGGAGAGAAGGAAAGGAAAAGGGAAGGAAAGAAGGGAAGAAAAAAGGGAAGGAAGGGAAGAGGGAGAGAAGGAAAGAAAAAAAGGGGAAGGAAGGAAAGAAAGAAAGGAGGAGAGAAAGATGGAGGGAAAGTGTGCCACAGCAACGCGTTGCGGGTACGGCTAGTATGTATATTTATCTATAAATACTAACTACGTTGACTCCAGATACAGACTCTGAGGACGAGGAGGAGGAATCCCTGCAGGACGAGTGGTCTTCTCCTTCCCCGGCCAGCTCCCGAGTGAGACCCCCGAGCCTCTACCGCGTAGTGGCCCCAAAGCGCAGCCGGATCGCGGGGGGGCTGAAAGCGACCCCCAAGGGCCTCTCCCCCGCCAGAACTCTCAAATCTAACCTGGCGGCTGCTGCTGGTGCCCGGAAGCCGCCCTTCTGCTTGCTGCCCAGAGAGGCCGAAGCCGGCTATTCATTCAGTGATTCCTCGGAGGACTCGTTTGATCAAGGTTACTAGATTATAACACAAAAACCAAACAAAGCTCTTCCGTGTCTGAGTGAGTGGTGAGCGAGTGTGGGACGTGGGTTGCGGATGGCGCCGTGGGGGTCATCCGTCCGGGATGGTGCGGTCATCGGCCATCTTGGATTCCTGCCTCTTGATCAATATTCTCTTTTGCTTGATCAATATTCTCTTTTATACAACAAATGTTCTGCCAATGTCACGATCGAACATTTATTTTAAGATCAACCCGCTCTTTTAAGAGCTTGCATACGAACGAGTGGCTTAGGTCCCTTCTACACTATCTAAAATCCAGATTAGCAAAGCAACCTATTTGGATTATCTACTTTGAAATGGATTATATGAGTCTTCATTGCCATATAATACAGTTCAAAACAGATAATTTGGATTTGAACTGGGTTATATGAGTCTCCACTGCCATATAATCCATTTCAAAGCAGATAAGATGGATTTGAACTGGATTATATGAGTCTCCATTGCCAGATTAGCAAAGCAACCTTTTTGGATTATCTACATGGAACTGGATTACATGAGTCTACATTGCCATATAATCCAGTTCAAAGCAGATAAAATGGATTTGAACTGGATTATATGAGTCTCCACTCTCAAATCCAGTAGATAAAATGAATTTGAACTGGATTATATGAGTCTCCAATGCCATATAATCCAGTTCAAAGCAGATAATCTGGTTTTGAACTGGATTATATGAGTCTCCATTGCCATATAATTCAGTTTGAAGCAGATCATTTGGATTTGAACTGGAATATAAAAGTCTCCATTTCCATATAATCCAGTTCAAAACATAATCCGGATTTGAACTGGATTATATGAGTCTCCACTGTCAAATCCAGCGGATAATCCGGATTTGAACTGGATTATATGAGTCTCCAATGCCATATAATCCAGTTCAAAGCAGATAATGTGCATTTGAACTGGATTATATGAGACTCCATTGCCATATAATCCAGTTCAGAACAGATAATTTGGATTTGAAGTGGATTATATGGGTCTCCACCGCCATATAATCCAGTTCAAAGCAGATAATCTGGATTTGAACAGGATTATATCTCCATTTCCATATAATCCAGTTCAAAGCAGATAATCTGGATTTGAACTGGATTATATGAGTCTCCACTGCCATATAATCCAGTTCAAAGCAGATAAAATGGATTTGAACTGGATTACATGAGTCTCCACTGCCATATAATCCAGTTCAGAACAGATAATTTGGATTTGAAGTGGATTATATGAGTCTCCACTCTTAAATCCAGCAGATAATCTGGATTTGAACTGGATTATATGAGTCTCCATTTCCATATAATCCAGTTCAAAGCAGTTAATCTGGATTTGAATTGGGTTATATGAGTCTCAACTGCCATATAATCCAGTTTAAAGCAGATAATCTGGATTTGAACTGGATTATATGAGTCTCCACTGACATATAATCCAGTTCACAGGAGATAATCCGGATTAGAACTGGATTATATGAGTCTCCACCGCCATATAATCCAGTTCAGAACAGATAATCTGGATTTGAACTGGATTATATGAGTCTCCACTGTCATATAATCCACTTCAAAGCAGATAAAATGGATTTGAACTGGATTATATGAGTCTCCACTGCCATATAATCCAGTTCAGAACAGATAATTTGGATTTGAAGTGGATTATATGAGTCTCCATTGCCATATAATCCAGTTCAAAACATAATCCGGATTTGAACGGGATTATATGAGTTTCTATTGCCATATATTCCATTTCAAAGCAGATAATCTGGATTTGAACTGGATTATATGAGTCTCCAATGCCATATAATCCATTTCAAAGCAGATAATCTGGATTTGAACTGGATTATATGAGTCTCCAATGCCATATAATCCATTTCAAAGCAGATAATCTGGATTTGAACTGGATTATATGAGTCTCCACTGCCATATAATCCAGTTCAAAGCAGATAATCTGGATTTGAACTGGATTGTATGATTGAACTGGCTTATATGATTCTCCATTGCCATATAATCCAGTTTGAAACATAATCTAGGTTTGAACTGGATTACATGAGTCTCCACTGCCATATAATCCAGTTCAAAGGATATAATCTGGATTTGAACTGGATTATATGTGTCTCCACTGCCAAATAATCCAGTTCAAAATTTATAATCTGGATTTGAACTGGATTATAAGAGTCTCCATTGCCATATAATCCAGTTCAAAACATAATCTAGATTTGAACTGGATTACATGAGTCTCCACTGCCATATAATCCAGTTCAAAGCATATAATATGGATTTGAACTGGATTATATGAGTCTCCATTGCCATAAAATCCAGTTCAAAATTTATAATCTGGATTTGAGCTCGATTACATGAGTCTCCATTGGCATAAAATCCAGTTCAAAGCGTATAATCTGGATTTGAACTGGATTATATGAGTCTCAACTGCCATATAATCCAGCTCAAAACATATAACCTGGATTTGAATTGGATTATATGAGTCTCCATTGGCATAAAACCCAGTTTAGAACAGATAATTTGGATTTGAACTGGATTATATGAGTCTCCATTGCCATATAATCCAGTTCAGAACAGATAATTTGGATTTGAATTGGATTATATGAGTCTCCACTGCCATATAATCCACTTCAAAGTGTATAATCTTGATTTCAACTGGATTATATGAATCTCTACTGCCATATAATCCAGTTGAAAGCATATAATCTGGATTTGAACTGGATTATATGAGTCTCCACTGCCATATTATCCACAGGAGATAATCCGGATTTGAACTGGATTATATGAGTCTCTATTGCCATATAATCCAGTTCGAAACATAATCTAGATTTGAACTGGATTACATGAGTCCCCACTGCCATATAATCCAGTTCAAAGCAGATAATCTGGATTTTACATAGTGTAGAAGGGGCCTTAGTCTTCACCATGCCCCCTCCCTTAAGCATACAAAGAATATTATTATTTTTTCCCCTTCATCTCTTGTTGCCATCATTGTTGTTATATGTGGCTTCTTCTTTTCTTTTTTTTCCTCCCCTTTTTCCAATATATTTTTTCCCCCTTTTTGGCCTGTGTTAGAGGTTTGGAAGGAAGTGTGTAAATTTAGCCCTCCTCTGTGTTGTGTGGGAGTGCCCCCCCCCCCTTGATGTTTGTACTGCAATTTGGTACCAAGCTTTTTATTAAAAATACCCAGTTTGTTTTTAACTAAACCCGTCTGCCTTGTCTCTCTTGCTGTGTCTCTCCGTAGGTTGGCTAGTTTGCTGCTTCACTCCATCCCTCTGTCCCTCATTGCTCCTCAAACAATTACGGGGAAACCGAAATTAACTAAATTGCAAATTGCGAGGTCCGTCCTCTCTATTATCCAAATATCCCTGGCTTGCAATTTCGCCCAAAATTCTGTTTTCCAGGAGGAAAAGCAAATCTACATGTTGATCTCTCCTTTTTTTTAAATTAAAACCAGCAGGGTCAGCTTGTGCATAATCTCGTAAATACCGTATATACTTGAGTATAAGCCGACCCGAATATTAGCCAAGGCACCTAATGTTACCACCAAAAACTGGGGAAACATATTGACTTGAGTATAAGTCAAGTGTGAGAAATGTAGCAGCTAGGTTCTTGTGGGTTTTTTCGGGCTATAGAGCCATGTTCTAGAGGCATTTCTCCTGACGTTTCGCCTGCATCTATGGCAAGCATCCTCAGAGGTGTGAGGTCTGTTGGAAGTAGGAAAAATGGGTTTATATATCTGTGGAATGGCTGGGGTGGCGCAAGGAGCAAAATCTGGCTACCAGTATTAAAAAACTCTAAAATTATAACAGCTAAACAACAGAGAGGAAAAAACCAGGCACAGATTAACACCTCCCAGCAACAATTTCCCAGGCTTAGGCAGGCCTTCAAATGCTAATGAAGGTGATCAGCTAACATTCACACCTAACTGCAGCAGGGAAGAGCTCCTTGCCCCACCCCAGCCATTCCACAGATATATAAACCCATTTTTCCTACTTCCAACAGACCTCACACCTCTGAGGATGCTTGCCATAGATGCAGGCGAAACGTCAGGAGAAATGCCTCTAGAACATGGCTCTATAGCCCGAAAAAACCCACAAGAACCTAATGTAGCAGCTACTTGTAAATTTCAAAATAAAAATAGATCCCAATAAAATTGCATTCATTGAGGCATACGTAGGTTCAGTGTTTTTGAATATTTAGGTAAACCTGTAATTTAAGATAAAACTTTCCAATTCTGATTAAAACATTATTCTAACCTTTTTCAATGTAAATGTGCTTATGTATCCTTCCAGTGATAATAAAGAGAATAAAATAATAAATGTTATAACAAAAATAGAGTAAAAATAATAAATGTATTAATCATAATAATAAATGTAATAATAGAGTAAAATAATGTAAATGTAATAATAACAGTAAGAAAAGAGTAAAATAGTAATAACAATAATAAATAGAGTAAAATAATAATCATCTTCATAATAAAGTAAAATAATAAATGTAATAATAGAGTAAAATAATGTAATAATAACAGTAAGAAAAGAGTAAAATAGTAATAACAATAATAAATAGAGTAAAATAATAATCATCTTCATAATAAAGTAAAATAATAAATGTAATAATAGAGTAAAATAATGTAATAATAACAGTAAGAAAAGAGTAAAATAGTAATAACAATAATAAATAGAGTAAAATAATAATCATCTTCATAATAAAGTAAAATAATAAATGTAATAATAGAGTAAAATAATGTAATAATAACAGTAAGAAAAGAGTAAAATAGTAATAACAATAATAAATAGAGTAAAATAATAATCATCTTCATAATAAAGTAAAATAATAAATGTAATAATAGAGTAAAATAATGTAAATGTAATAATAACAGTAAGAAAAGTAAAATAGTGAATGTAATAACAATAATAAATAGAGTAAAAATAATAAATAATAATCATAATAAAGTAAAATAATGAATGTATTAATC